GCTGCGGGTGCAGAAGCAGCAGCACCCCACACAAATGGCTGCTGCTGCTGCTGCTGCTGCTGCTGCGGCTGGAAGGGAGAAGCTGTTAGCGGCTGCAGAGAAGCAGCAGGCCCAAAAGGGGAGGGACTCAACATTGTCTCCAAACCCTAAACCCTAAACCCTAAACCCTAAACCCTAAACCCTAGGAGTTGCTCTAGGGTAAAACGCCATCCATTGTGCGCAAAGCGCACAGAGCGAAAGCCCCAACACTTGAAACCCTAAACCCTAAACCCTAAACCCTAAACCCGAGGTAACCCTCAGCTTAGTCGCCTCCTTCGCCCGCCGCCTGCGGCTCAAGCGAGGCATGAGGGTTTAGGGTTTAGGGTTTAGGGTTTGGGGAAGGCATGGAGAGAGAGAAGCAAGAAAAGAGATATAATTTCTTGCTTTTTCGTATCTTAAACCCTCAAACCGTCGCTTAGGGTTTAGGGTTTAGGGTTTAGGGTTTAGGGCTTAGCTGGGGTGGCGCTGCTGCAGCCCCGCTACTGTTTAGGGTTTGGGGTTTTAGGGTTTAGGGTTTTTTGCTGGTTTATAGAAATATCAATTAATATAATTTATAGTTTTAATGCATAAACCCTAAACCCTAAACCCTAAACCTTAAACCACAAACCCTAAACCCTAAATTCTTGACTTTGTGGTGCATGCGCGCTGTTTGTCTTTTCTTGCTGCTGCAACCAAACGCCCCCAATCAATAATAAGCAACAACTCTCTAAACCCTAAACCCTAAGCCCTAGACCCTAATCCCTAAACCCTTGTACATCTCTCTGCTGCATAAGCAGCCTAAGAACAACGTTGATACGCTGCTGCTGCTGTTGCTTTCACGCTACTCCTGCTCTCCTGCTGTCGTTACTGCTGCTTTTGTTGTTGCTGCTGCTATTGCTGCTTCTGCTGCTGCTGCTGCTGCTGCGGGTGGGGCGCCTTGGTGTCTCGTACTTAATATTGCAGCTAACAAATAAATGCGCTGCTGCATCTACGGCAAACAGAGAGGTTTTGCTGCTGCAGCTGCTGCTGCCGCTGCTGCTGCTGCTGCTACAGCTGGTGCTGCTGCTGCGCTGCAGCAGCAATAGAAAGGCCCCTCTCTAGGCCCTTTTACTGTAGGTGCTGGCTATACACCTGCCGCAAACCCAAGCCACCACTTAGGGCTAGGGTTTGGGGCTTAGGGTTTACGGTTTAGGGTTTAGGGTTTAGGGTTGGGGTTTCTATGGGTAGCTGGCCTCAGAAAAAAAGAGAGCGCTCTTGCAAACCCTAAACCCCAAACCCTAAACCCTAGCGGGAGGGTCAGTGTAGAGCGCAGGCTTTAGGGTTTAGAATAACAAAGCAGTAAACCCTAAACCCTATGCTCTCACTGCAGATGCCCCCCTAAACCCTAACTCAAGGCTCAAAAATGTAGCCTTAGGGTTTAGGGTTTAGGGTTTAGGGTTTAGGGTTTGCTGCAGCCACGGATGCTGCAGCACCTGCGACAGCCGCAGCCGTTTGCTAGGGTTTGGCTTCACCATACCCCTGAAGAAACACAAACCCTAAACCCTAGGCCTCTGAGTCGGTTGTTTCGGTGTTGAGAAAGGGTTTAGGGTTTAGGGTTTAGGCTAGGGTTTAGTGTTTATGGTGCAGGCTAGGGTTTAGCGATTAGGGTTTAGGGTTCAGGCAGGTTGGGTGTAGGGTTTAGGGCTCAGGCTTAGTGCTTAGGGTTTAGGGTTTAGGGTTTAGGGTTTAGGGTTTAGGGTTTAGGGTTTACCAAAGGAGATCTGCTGCAGCATCAGAGATTGAAAGAAAAGCAAAAGGGTTTGTAGATATATCTTCACCCGCTATCAAAGAAGAAAAGAATAAACCCTCAGCCTCTCTGCACGCAAACCCTAAACCCTCAAGCTAAGGATCGTGACGCCGAAACAAAGGGCATAGGGTTTAGGGTTTAGGGTTTAGGGTTTAGGGTTTAGCAGAGGGAAATAACATACAAGGAGACGTCAGGAGAGCAAACGAACGAAGACATAAAACAAACAAACAAAACAAATAAACAAAAACAAACAAAACAAACAAACAAACAAACAAAATAAGTAAATAAATAAATAAAACAAATAAACAAACAAAACAAACAAACAGGCAAACAAAACAAATGAACAAACAAAACAAACAAACAGGCAAACAAAACAAATAAAATAAACAAAACAAACAAAACAAACAAAGACAGCAAATATGCTTACCCCCAGCATGCGCTGTTGTTTGTATTTATATACGGATGCCTCCCGGTTAACAGCAGAGATAAAACGCAGCCCAAAGCATAGACGTCTTTAGGGGCCCCTTCTATCACTTCATTCTCAGCAGCAGCAGCAGCAGCAGCTGCTGCTGCTGCTGCTGCTGCTGATGTTGCACCAGGAGCAGCTGCTACAGGAGAAGCTGCAGCTGCAGCAGCAGAAGCAGCTGCAGCAGGTTCAGCTGCAGGAGGAGGAGATGCAGCTGGAGCAGCACCATCAGCAGCAGGGGCAGCAGCAACAGCAGCAGCGGTAGTTGTTGCTGTTGCTGCTGCTGCTGTTGTTGTTGCTGCTGCTGCTGCTGTTGCTGCTGCTGCTGTTTGTTTCTCTGTAATGTTTTCTGCATCGGTGTTGTTGTTTTGTTTGTGTTTGTTTAGTGGATTGTCTATCAATTTAATTTGTTTGTTTTCGTTTGTTTTATTTATTTTATTTGTTTTATTTTGTTTGTTTTTATCTTCTTCTTCGAGCTCCCTATACACCGCATTCACTTCTTCTGGCGGCACCACAACTTTTGATGTGCCTGAAGAAATACAAAAACATTTATTATTTATTTATTTACTTTTGTTTATTTATTTATTTGCTTATTTATTTGTTTGTTTGTTGGTTTGTTTGTTTGTTTGTTTGTTTGTTTGTTTGTTTGTTTGTTTGTTTGTATATTTATTTATCTATTTATCTGTTTATTTATTTATTTATTTATTTGTTTGTTTATAAATTTATTTATTTATTTATTTATTTGTTTATTGTGCGTTGCTCGTCTACTTTATTTATTATTTATTTACTTTTTGTTTATTTTTATATTTTATAGAGAAATAAAATAAACAAAAATTAAAAAAATAAATTAAAAAAATACAAAAATAATTAACCCAAACAAAACCGGAAAATAAAAAAAATAATATAAACGCACATAAACAAATTAAATTAAAGTTAATTAAATTAAATTAATTAAATTAAATTAAATTAATTAAATTAAATTAACTAAAAATTTATTTATTATAATAATATTTAATTAATTGTGTTTGATAAATTAATTTTAATTTAATACAAAACAAACAGAATAAATATAATAAATAAAACAAACAAACTAAACAAAACAAACAAAATAAATAAAACAAAATAAAATAAAATAAAATAAAATAAAATAAATTTAAAAAGCATTATACCCCCTGAATAAACTTTTGCTTCAACTCCTCTCTGTGCGCTGTCAAGGTCCAGCACTACAGCAGACAGCACACACCCGCAGCTGCAGCAGCAGCAGCAGCAGCAGCAGAAGCAGCAGAAGCAGCAGAAGCAACAACAGCAGCAGCAGCAGACGACGCAGCAGCAAAAGAAGCAAAAGCAGTAGCATTAGTAGAAGATGCAGCAGTATAGGCAGTAGCAGCAGAAGCAGAGGAACACAAGCAGCAGCAGCACGGGCAGCAGCAGCAGCAGAAACGGGAGAGGCAGCAGCAGCAGCAGCAACAGCATCAGATGAAGAATGCATATAAAAAAAGCTAAGACCGAAGCAAGCGAACCTCCAGGAGAAACAAATTGCTGCTGCTGCTGCTGCTGTTGCTGCAGTTGCTGCTGCTCCTATTACTCTATTACTGCTGCTGCTGCTGCTGTTGCTGCTGCTGCTGCTGCTGCTGCATTACCTGCAAGCAATTCCCTCAGGGTGGCGTCCATCCTCCTCTTCACCGGATTCATTCAAAGAAGTGGATGGGGGCAACTTTATTCTTTTGCTGCTGTTGCTGCTGCTGCTGTTGCCGTTGTTGTTGTTGTTGTTGTTGTTGTTGTTGTTGTTGCTGCTGCTGCTGCTGTTGTTGTTGCTGTTGTAGCAGTCGTGAGTGCATGGGCCAGCACAACACCAGCATTTGCTGCTGTCGCCTTTGCTGCTGCTGCTGCCGTTATTGCTGCTGCTGCTTCCGTTGTTGTT